GTGGTTTGGGGGTCTACAACTGCTCCTTTGGCCCTTCTAATCTGGTAATCTCCCTCAGCTCAGCTTCCTAGCTACCATGAGCCAAGAAGCTTTGCTTTACCACATCCTTTTGCCATGAGGTCTCTGCCTTGCAGCCAACTGATCTTGGCTGAAACGACAAGCATTTTAAACCTCTTTAAACTGAGATATTTGATACTGTGACTAATACAAAGGTAACTGCTCTGTGTTTAGACAGTACATATTTATGACTGATGGCAAAAGCCATGCAATACCACTATCCCCATGTTTTATTTTTGACTTCTGTTCTATGAGGGGAATGAGTAGCTCACCAGGCTAAACCACAGTGTGGGACATCAGCAGGCACTTCTTGTATGTCACATCAGGAGAAAAACTATTGACTTTAGTTGAGTGTAGTCAGATGTCATCACCCTCGCTGTGGCGGCCTTCATCTGTGCATTTTGCATGTCCTGTGATCTTGTCTTGAAATGACAAAGCACTGAACAAATATCTAAAAGTGGGCAAAGAAGTATAGAAATCAAGCCCTGAGCCAACTCCCTTAATTTTTCACTACAGAAAGTTATTGTCTTGGATTTGGGAGTCATTTTCTATAACAGCATTTTGTGGGGCCATGTGTTTGTGTGAGCCCTTCAACTTGTGAAGTTTGTATGACCAAATGCTTTTCAGACAGAACCAGAAAGAGAAGACACGGGAAGGAATGCCAGACTCAAAAAGAGTTCCTGTAAAGGGCTGATGGTTAATTTTGCACAGTCTGGTCTTTAAAACTGAATTATAATTCAGGTTAGAAGACAGGGAGGGGAATTTCAATTACCTCTTCCCAATAATAGCCATACCACAAACGGGTTTTAATCAGTCTATTACAACTTTGTATCTCTGCAGCACTCTCTTCATACTTCAGCTAACCTCTCCTTTGCCTTGATGCTGCAGTCCTCTCTAGAATCTGATAATCTTCGCTCACAAGCAGAAATCTAGAAAGCATCCTTGGTGCCTGTCCCTCTGCTTCTTTTAGATTCTACTTCTGAGAGCAGCTTGAGTGTTTTATGCATCTGTCTCTACTTGCACATTTTCTGTTGTCCTGTGATGTTTGATTGTATCAGATCTAACTTTAGCTTCTCTGGAACTTCTTGCCCACTGTGTTAGTCTATAAAAGAGTTACTTATCACTGTATTTATGTTCCCTTGACATCTTTGTGTTCCTCCACTAATGTCACGGACAAATTGCTTTGAGTTACTATACAGATGTCCGGTCCTTTCCTTGTACCACTAGTTGCTTCAGAGCAGAGGCTCTGTCTCTATCCCCAGTACTTTCTTTGCAAGTCTATGCATTCATTTCTTTTGTGTGTATGTGTGTGTGTGATGAGAAAAGACTCTAGGGCTTTGTGGTGTTTGATACATTGTATCAATTTAAGAAGTTTAGAATTTTAACTAAGTGACTCAGCAGGGGGCCAGGGTCATCACTTTGTAAACATTCTGTTCTGTGGGAGAAAAGGAAGAGAGATGATGTGAGTGCTATACCTCCCCCAGGATGGGTAGCCTGCTTACAGTATAAGGGAAGAAAAGAAGCTTCTTCTTCGCTTTTTTTTCCTCTTATTGCTTTTGCTGTCTTCTTCTGTCTTAACCCTTTACCATGCCATCCTGCTTTGGAGCCAGCTAATTATGTACTGAAACCTCTACAAACTGTGAGCTAAATAAACCTTTCCTTCCTTAACTTGGCTTGGGTATTATGTCTCAGCAATGAAAGAAAAGAAACAAAGACAGAATTAAACCCAGGATCTTGCACATGCTAAGCAGGTACTCTACCACTGAGTAAAGCCACAGTTGATTTTTTATTTCTTAAATATCAACTTAGCAGTATTGGGTAAGAAGGTGGGAAAAAGAAGTTAGATCTAACCTAGAGGTGAAAATGAGCAGGCATCCAGATGATGGCAGCTTGAGCTGAACAGTTGGTACAGATGAACTAGGAAGTTAAAATTCATGAAAGTTCCTTACAGACTCAGCATGGGAATGAGAAAGAGCAAAGAGTCAGAGATGATCTCCAAAAGAGGCTTAAGAACTGGGTGGATCTTAGGCTGCATGAATAGAAATTAGTGCATACAACTGATCCTGCTCAACTCTTGGTTCTCTGTGATCTTTAGAATTAGAGGACTGAATTTACTGGTGGGATGTGACAAGTTTCCCTGTGTTCAGAAATAAAATACATATTCAGCAAAATGTGTAAGTTACCTTTTTTAGTAAAATATTGGCAAGCATATGGATTAACATTTGGTAAGACTACATGATGTAGTTCTTTTTTAATTGCTGAAGACAGCAAAGATTGTTACCAATTAGATATATTTAAATATACTGAAAATACATAAGTATATTCACAAATACAATGACATACAATAAGGAAAATCTTATAAGTACATACCATAAGGGTTAGTTTGTAACAACAACATTACAACATTATAAAGAGACATTATTGACCACAATTTTTTAGAATGAAAGTTGATAGACGTTCATGCATGTCTGTGTTACTTCTACAATTTAAATTATTTATGTTTTTGGAGTCAGATTAAATCAGTAAATCAGCAAGTGTATTTGGATTTTATGTAAAAAAAAGAGCTTTCTGACATGATGAAGTTTTAGGATTTTTTTTCCATTAGAAAAATAGCAAACTTTGAAAATATTTACTTAGAATTCCTTTTACTGTATCCAATAAATATCAAAAGTAGATTTTAAGAGCCCACTGAAATCTGTTTTTCCAGGTAGAAAAAAAAAAGGAAGCACAGAGAAGATCTGACATTTCGATATACAGAAAAGATAATCTGAGCTTTCTGGAGAAGGAAGACCTTTTAGGTGAAATCTAAATATAAACTCAGAGACTTGGTATCACAGGAAACTGTTACAGCTCAGAACTATCTAATAAATGGTGGCAGCAGTGAATCACAGCAGTGTAAAATCAGGAAGAATACAGTATCAATAGCTACTCTTAGATTTATAACACTGCGCATCCTTAAGATAATTTACATTTACATTTCAAAAATGACATCTTGGTTTATAGACGTTTCTGATCTCAAATTGTGTCAATATTTGCACATTCTCTAACAGTATCTATAGGCTTTTTAGATGTAGAATTGCAGTTAATGCAGTATAAACTTCTGAATTCCACTAAACTCAGTTGGATTAGTAAAGATTGATTTGCTGCAGCATGACTTTGCTTATAGAATCTGAAGTACCCAAAAATCAAACTCAAATTTATTTAACCATAAGCTTGTCATTTTCATGTAATTAATATTTGGTGAGTTTAACATGTTAATGCTATTCTCGAGTAGTTGTACGTTATGGGACCAAGCTTCTGGAGTGTAAAGCATGACTCTGAGTGACTGTGGCAGATACACATAACTTCAATGTGTTTCATTCAATCTGTTCTTATCTCCAAAATGAAAATTATAATTGTCCTTATTATATGTTGTTGTAAAAACTAATCAGTTAATTCATGTAATCCATATTATATACAATAGTAACTGAATATATAATTAATTTAAATATTTAAACCATAATGCAGCCCCCCCCCACATATGTATCAGTGCCTAGAAAACAAGAAATATTGCCTATTATGTAATGCTGGTATTTATTATGTATTTGATAAGCATTTTGTTAAGACAAGAATACATGTTGAAAATTAGAAAAAATGACATTCTGTGAATTCTGTAGCTACATCCAGAATTTTCTACAACTAAAAGATCTTGCTATCTAGTTCATTCATTCATTTATTCATTCAGACTTAGTTGTCACATTGATGAAGCTCACATCCAGAAAACACTCAGACACTCTGGTCTGAAGCCTGGGCAAGGTCAGGTCTAGAAATCTAGACTTGAGCATCTCATCTTAAAGGGAAGGGCACTTGGATTGTGTTCATCTCAGCCACTCACAACATCTAATTGAGCGTTTAATAAACAGCAAACTCCTAGGTAGATGTTGGACAGTGAACAAATTTCACCTCTTCTTTCTAAAGTGTTGAACTGTATCTTCTCTTTGGCCTTCATCTCTTTAATCTTCTAGTTAAAGTCTCACTGGGTTGTACTCTTTTCCTTCTAAAGAAAAGTTTTCTCTTGTTTGCATCACAAATCACCATTACTTGTGTAGTTTAAAATACCACATATTTCTCTCCACAATTTTGTGGGTTTGGAGTCCATGCACTGGGTAGCCACCTCTTGCTGGGGTGTAGCAGGCTGCATGCTCATCCTCAGGATCTTCTAGAGAGAATTTGCTTTTGACCTTGTTCCCAATGCCAGCAGAATTCATTCCTTATGGTTGTTTTGTGTATCAAGGCCAGCAGACGACTCTCTCACCCCAATCAGCCAAGATTGGATACATAAAATAATGTGATCTTGGCGGTGTGACATCCTAATACCTTAGTCACATTCTGTTAGCAGGAAACAAGTCACAGGTTCTGCCCATCTTCTGCCTACATAAAAGTATGGACTCTAGGAGGGAGAAATATGGGGAAGTCATCTGGTTCCCTGTCAGGGAAAGGTTCCTGCAATACCTCATTTATGTGTCTCTTTCTTACTGTATTACTGTGCAACTCTATAACTCAGATGCCCTTGCTTGTCCACATTTCCAGCTTCCACGCACAGACCTTGTCCTGTTTATCTCCTGTACCCCTTTGCACCTGACATAAACCTTGGCACACAGTTGATGTAGTAAAATTTATTCTTAACAGTTTCATTGATACATAATTCATTGATAAACTTTCAATAACTGAATGCAGGAAAACACAGGGCTCACAACTCATAAGTTCTAAAATATTTGCTGACAAAATTTAAAGAATTAGTCTAATTGAGTATATATTTGAAGTTCTCTTGATTGTTCAAGGCAATAATTGATAAAATGACTTAGAAGGTAAAAATGACTTTATAATTATTTCTAGAGCTACATAACTATTTTTTCATGATATAATTTCATAACATATTGTGTTATCTACTTTTTTCTTTCTAGATGAGCAAGAGATTGTACAAAAACGCACTTTCACAAAATGGATCAACTCTCATCTGGCCAAGGTAAGGGAACAACCAGAGTAAAAGGGTTATGTATCTTAAGGCTCAGAATTCTGTGCCACAGTTGTCTCTATTACTGGTCAATGATATTAAAATCTTATCAATTGGTTTAACCATTGCCAAAGTGTGATATTTGTTAGCATTGTCTCTGAGAAGAAATGAACTGATATCTGGTGAAGAAGTTATTTCACATCATTTCTATGAGTTTTGATGCAAAGGTTCATCCTATTATTGCTTCTATACTAATGTGTATGTCATATCAAATGAAAATATACCCTGGACTTTTGTTCATGTCCTATTACTGACAGAAGGAAGAGATAAATGGCTCTCACTGAGCAATGCGTTTTATCTGCAGACAGAATAAATGCATCTCTGTCAAGTGAACAGAGAGGCAGGACATTAGAGAGAGAAGTTATTCGGAGATTTTTCCGTTGTAGGGCATACTCAGTACTGTGAGCCTGCACATCATAATATCTTTGAACATCAATGCAAAAAATAAAATAAACTTCAATCTTAGTACATAACACTGTGATTAATTTCACACTGTTTCAAGAAATATCACATTAGCAAAATAAAATTCAAATGATAGCACAGTTGTTTGAATTCAGCTAACGGATCCTTTTTTGGTGAGTAGCACTTATTAGTACCTAAGTGTAACCAAGTAGGTAGTTTATGATCAGATTTCTCCTGCTATAGCTTAGTCCTGAAACATTCCTCAAAGGCCCATGTGTTTGAGCCTTCGTCCTAGCTTGGCACAATTTGGAGGTGATAGAAGCTTTAAGGGATTGAGCCTGCCTTGAAATCTTCTGATCATGGGGACTGTGCTCTTAAAGAGGAGAATAGCACCCATCCCCATCTTATTCTGTTTTGCATGCTACTTATGAGATGAGGCTTTATTTCCCCATGTGCTCCCCTTGTTCCCTTATGTGCTACTTTGCTACAGACTCAAAATACTGTGGCCCTCTGGTCATGTCCTACAATCTCCAAAACTGTGATCAAGCCAAAATAAATTTGATTGCTTTAGGTATTTATTACCATGACGGAAAGCCGGTTAACACATCCCCAAAGCCAATTTTAATAGCTCAGAAGCAAACAAGGCATGACAGTTTTAGTCCCGTTCTATACATTAGCCGCTTGCTTTGTTTCTGTGCTGTGCTGTGGAAAACAGTAAAAGTTAGCAAGACACTTTCCTAGGCCTTGAGCAGCTCACCATCCGGCAAAGGAAGAGGACCAGAACAATGTACCTAGGTTCAGGAGAGATGAAATCATCTTTCCTGTAGTCTCTTCCAAAAACCACTTTGTGAGAGAGTTTCACCCAAAATCTGTCCTGTAGAGTCAGTTGGTTTGGGACTTGGGACTCATTTTCTCAAGCTTTTGTTAGTGCTAGTCTGCTGGTACTTGTTTTATAGTTTTCTCAATAACTAATGAAGACTTTTTCTCCAAAATCGAAAGAGATTTATTATTTCTTCATATTGTAAAGTAGCTAATTTTAAACAGTATTAAAATAAACTCCCTGTAAAATGTTACAACAGTAAAAAATCTCCTTAAATTATACAATCCAGATATACTCACAACTCCAGTATTGGTCATCATTTTTCTATACAGTTTCATATTACTGATCTTACAGAATAGCTTTTTGGAGGCCTCTATTTCACTTAGTACTTAATCATTCCATGTCAAAAGATGGAAAGTAACTGAATAAGTTTTATTATATTGTCTTTTATAATTCATGCAATTGCCTATTGATGATCCTTAAATGATTTCTAGTTGTTTAATATTACCTTAAAACACCACAGTGAAAATACTTGCCTATTTATCTTTGTATATTATATGACTTTTTCTTAGGAGAATTTCTAGAAACAGGTACAGGTACAATTATGATTCTAATATATATCAAGAATTTTTGAGAATCTCTATTTCCTAGGAGTATCAATGCCCTTAAAAGGTATTAATGTGTTTTCCAGTCTTATTGGAGAAAATAATTTGCAACTTTTTTCATCTTTCTTTGTTTTTAAAATAGAGGTTGATTATCTTTTGAAAACTTTTAAGTTGGTTAACTTGGGATGCAATTTTATTATGTACAGAACACTTAAAAAGATAGCAGATCTGGAATGCATGCCATGGCAGACAGGCTATAAAAGACACTTGGGAAGCGATTATAGGCACAAGGGAGTTAATTCCAGGTTTGTTTTCGTAGTTGCTTTGTCACTGTTTTCGGTTGCTTTGCACATCTATGTGATGGTTCTTGTGGTTATCAGCGGTAACCTCAATAAACATGCATTCTTTTCAGGTTTCTTTATCAGCCCGGCTTGCGATCTCACAAGTATTCTTTCTAAATATGTAAGCCTTACTTGTTATTTGTAGTACACCCTCTCTAGCCCATGAAATCATTTCTGACCACATGTGAAAAAGTGATGCTGTCCTCTAGTAAGTGGATCAAGCTCATCCAAATTGCCCCATGCACTGCTCCTCCTGCCCCCACCACTTTCCCTGTCTTTCCTGCCTCTGGTGTTGGAGAATTCAGACTCCTGTCGCTTCTCCAGAACCTATAACAGAGGTGAAGTTGAGCTCATCTTAATTTATATGGTGTTTTTTTAAAAAAATCTCACTTCCCAACAACATTAAGAAGTTGTAAACATTGTAAAATTATAATGCATATACTAATTCTTGGAATTTCTTTATAATCCTCATAGCTCTACTCACAGTGCTCAATAGAATGCAGAGATATCTAAAAAGAAAAAAATAACAAAGAGTTTTTATCTTTTCCTTTGTTTCATTTGAAAGTAAATATTACATGGTGAAAAATTAAATAGCAGTTTTAGCCAGCACTGCACCCAGTGCTTAGCCCAGGTGACTTGACAGCCTGTGTTGCTACCCTCCTGGAAAGAGATGCTACTTGGATTTGAATCCAGACAAGAATCTAAAGTTTAGCTGTTTCCCCTGCATTGCACACTTTTTGCATGAATAATATCATTCTGAAAGGTCCAAAAATTTTCATATTCACAACTCACCTATCATAACCTTAATCTGATCACATCCTCTATACATACAGTTTTTTTTTTCTTTTGGGGAATAATCCTGAAAACTGAATACTAGAGCAGAAGGATAATAATTTACTTGTTATCTAGGATTTATTTATGCCAATATTGTAATATTTCACTATATATAGCCCCAAACACAAAATCACTGGAGGTTATTTTTCTTTTCCTAATCCATATATATTTGGAAAACATTTTTGAAAATCAGATCTGGCCCATTTCTCGCGTTTGATGACTAAGAACTTAGAGATGGCTGTACAGTTTATGTTTATGCCTGTGTCTGTCGCAGCAGCTGATCACATAATTGCTCCTTCATCTTTCTCTATCCCATCCTTTACCAGCATCATGCCTATTTTAGCTTTCACTGCCAGCTCTGTCTCCCTCATTTCCCCTTCCACTGGTCTCCCATTCATGTGTCATCTCTACCCCTTCACCACCAGACTGGCAACCCAGCTCCAACACATTTGCCATGTCCATCTCAGTTTCTCGTCCCTACCTTTATCCCTGTGGTCATCTCTGCTTTGTCTGTTTCCTCTATGAAAACACATCCAACCTGCAAATATTAAACTTTGCATTCTTGTCAAGGTTAAATTAATGAATGCTCTCAGGCTGATATTGTAGGAACACTTCCTTCTGCCTTTACCTCTGAAAAATTCTGAGAATGATAGCATCTCACTTGTAACAAAAACAAGGTCAGTTTCAAGTAATATCTGGCTTCTGAACCAAGACACTGTGTCACTTTTCTTTTTGTGTTTGTGAGAATATGAGGTTTGCTCTCAAAGCCATATGAAGCAGTCAAGCTTGTTTGGTTCCACTCTTTAATACCCATGATTATGAACAACAAGCACATGGATACACACACACACACACACACACACACACACACACCATTAGCTAGTCTCTGCAGAAGCATATATTCTGTCCAGGGTCTAACTAAGTCCTTCATGAATATCACATATTAAATTGTTGGTCCTTGGCTTCTGATCACCTTTCAGCCACACACAGATGTATCCTACAGACAGGTTTTCAGTCACAGAGCAGTCCTGAAACCATACTTAGTAAGAATAGTTTTCGTTAGAAAAATAATCCATAAAGAAGAAATTGGACAATATTTCTTTATGTTTTGGAGTTTCTTGAAGAAAAATTTCCCTATTCCTCCTTACTTATTATATAACCCAGATAGTTTATCTGATCACTAATAAACTTCCCCAGGGGTGGAGCCATAACCGCTGTTACCATAGAATGGACTGAGTGTCCTGTAGTTGTGAATCATGTTGTGTCTGGTTTGGTGTATCATCTGGACATTGATTATTTTAGTATTACATTTTCTACTTCTCTAGTGATACAGGTCTTGATTAGTCCATTCAGGATTCTGTAATAACATGTCAGAGTCTGGAGTGGCCTAAATACCAAACATTTATTTCTTACAGTTCTTGGGGCTGGTAAGACCAAGATAAAATTTATTTTTAGATGAAGGTCCTCTGCTTGACTTACCGACTGCAGTCTTCTCCCTGTGTCCTCACATGGCAGAGAACAAAAAGCTCTTCATCATAATATAAGAATGCTAACCAATTCCGTCACAAGGGCCCTATTTTGTGACTCTGCTCAAACCAGTTTGCTGCCCAAAGACTCTGCCTCTAAATATTACCACCTGGGGTTTGGGGCTCTAGAGGGTCTGGAAAGGTCACAAATATTTAGGGCATAATAGGGTTCAAGATTCCTCTGACAAGGGCAAATAAGAATTCCTGCTAAATTTCTAACGTAGGACTAGGAATTTAATCTGGAAGGAAGGCAATTGTGGGCTGATTTTCTCTTTCACAGCTGATGCTTCCTACATAATCCCAGTTATATGTATCTCTGAGCCTCGTGGGTTTTTGTTTTTTCATTTAATTTGAGGATCAAGTAATGTAAGACTTAAATTGTATTTCATTCCTTGGATGTATTCTCCTCTTCCTACAATTTTCT